AATTGGCTTTGTTTGTGGCTACTATTCCAGAAACTCCAAGCTCTTTGTTTTCCCTGACCCAATGGATACTTGTGCTAGTGAGCTAGGGAACACCCTACATTGTGGTTTTTTTGCCCAGGTCCACTGCTGGTAGGTGTTTACTCACTCAGCCTTACTCAGATGTGTCTCCAGCACATGCCGGAAGTTTAGAGGCTCAGGGTATGAGCTGGTGTGGAGGTCTTTAAGCTTTCTCAGGTGTGGGGTCTGGTCTCTAAGCTCTGAGCCTGGGTTCCAGCTCTTTCTCTTGGCTTTCCCACATTGCTGGTTTCTGCTTTCTGCTGGTGGCTAGGAAGGGATGCCACAGGCTTCCTGGCTGTGGATGTTCCAAACACCCAACCTACAGGTGTGAACCTGGAGGAACAGGCAGGGAACATTAGGATCAAGTTCACTCTCCCCGTCCCAAGCAGAAAATGTTTCTCCATGCTGCATTCCTGGAACTATGGAAGAAGTGACATGGGGAATATCTACCCACTTTTATTGATTTATTTGGTTTCTTCCAAGTGACCTTTTATTAGAGCAAGATGTGAGTGTTGTGGTATCTCCTCTGACTTTCACAGTGCTTGTGAAGGTGACTTAGTGTGTGTTTAACTGTGTCACATTTGTGACTCTCTGAACAAGAAAGTCACACCAGAAAGGCCACCAGAAACTCTAACTCAGCTGACATCTTCATTCTACCTCTCCCCAAGTCTTCTCTCTTACAGTTGACTTACCTGGTACCTAAGTGAAACAGGATTGCCCACATATAATTGGAGAGATCTCATGAATTTGTGTATCTGGAAATGGTAAGGTTGACTTGTGATAACACCCATTCAAGAAAGTACTGCTGTTTCTTCTAATATTTGTAGAGGGATTGGCAGCTCTGCCTTTAGTATTAGGACAAGTGGAATCACTCTATGGGTTACATTTCTTGTGGGTCACTGACATCATCAAACAATTTTACAGATCTCCTTTGGACATAGAAAGACCGTGGATAACATCAGAAGAATTTGCAAAGTAAAGGCTTGCAGTGGAAGAACAGTCTTAACATTGGCTGTAGAGATGGAGTCCTAAGATGTTTGGCAGCACATCCCTACAATCTTTGTGGGGAAGAAATGTGTGTGTTCTGTTTCTTTCCAACTAAGTAAACAGTGATGGCAAAGGCAATTGCCAACCTTCCTGCAATAAATCTGGTCCATTTCCAGGAAAGATATCAATTTCATCAAACACAGAACTTCACCTCACCACTTATCCAAAAAAAAAAAAAGTTTTTAAACAAGAAGTGTGCTGGCTTTCTAGAAGACAAACCTTGAACATTTGAAAGAGCCTCAGGCAAAGAAAAAAATTTGAAGGGGATGGGGAGGAAATGCTGAAAGTAAAGGAACATTTGGACAGTTGGACATGGATGTTTATTCATGGCTTGACTTACTTGGTGGATACTTTTGATCAAATCAATGAGGTCATTCTTTCCATTCCAAGGCTTATATGCTATTAGGAAGTCTGCAGATCCATTATGAGCTCCTCTGTCCAGATTTCTGCTCTGGAAAAGGAGAGAGGAGGAGGCAATTGTATTAAGTTGTCAGTGCTGGAGGGAAAAATGTTTCCTTAGGCTGAAGCAAAGGATAACTTTTTTTTTTCCAACTTTTGCAGGGAAAGATCTGTAGCAACCTGGAACACTGTTGAATTCTTTTGATGGTTATTTCTGCTCTAGTGACCTTGAAATTAAATGTGTTTTCATGACCCTCAACTTGCTTGACATCAAGCATGCAGTCTCCGCCAAAAATGACCTCACAAAGAAATTGATGCTACATGGATTAACCTGAGTCTTGGATAAATCTGTGCTTGCCTGATTCAAACCTGCCCTTGTCTCACAAAGTGTGCTGTGGGAGCTCGGATTCCATTACTACATTTGTGAACTATGAGACTAAGTTTTTCATCACTTGTCAATCAAACCAAAAGGTAGAGTCCACCGCGTATCAAAGATGACATTTGCATTTCATTGTCTGGCACTCTCATGTCATTCTCTCATTCAAGCTGAGCAATAGCACTACAGCTGGTAAAATACACTTTTGAGTGATGGGCATTCAGAGTAACATTTAAAATACCACTGGCAGAGCCCGGCACGATAACATAGCAGTTAAAGTCATCGCCTTGAGCACCCCAGGATCCCATATGGGCACTGGTTCTAATCCTAGCGGCTCCACTTCCCATCCAGCTCCCTGCTTGTGGCCTGGGAATGCAGTTGAGAACGGCGCAAAGCTTTGGGACCCTGCACCTGCGTGGGAGAGCTGGAGGAAGCACCTGGCTCCTGGCTTCAGATTGGCACAGCTCCAGCCGTTGCAGCCACTTGGGGAGTGAACCATTGGATGGAAGATCTTCCTCTCTGTCTCTCCTCCTCTCTGTGTATCTGCCTTTCCAATAAAAATAAATAAATCTTTACAAAAAAAATACCACTTGCAGCATCTGTATCCCACACCAGAATGCTCAGGATTTGAGGCTCTGTTGCATTACCAATTCCAATTTTCTGCTAAAGAATACCCCAGGAGGCAGCAGTCATGGCTTAGGTACTTGGGTTCTTGCCATCCACATGGCAGACCAGGGTGGAGTTAGAGTTAGAGTTCTTGGTGTCTTAGCTGTTACAAGCATGTGGGTAGTGAACCTGTGGGTGCAAGCAATTCTCTGTCTGTCTGTCTCTCTCGCTTTCAAATATATAAAAATCAATTTTTAAAAGTCTGTAAAATTAATAAGTAAGTGAACCCACTTTAGAGCAAGCCATTTCATTTGTGTTTTTGGAATGTTTTGTATATTCTTGCATATGCTTGAAACAATCACACGTACTTTCCAAAAGTGACCACTGATTTTTTAAAATGTAGGTGAAGTGTAAATATTGGTTTTAGATTTCATGTGAGTGGATAGGCTTAGTTTCTTTCAAAAAGTGTTATAAAACATTATAGGTCCAAATTTATTTGCTTTGTACCATTCCTTCCGTGGCTTCTCAAAGTAGTGCGGTAACCTAAAAAGGTAAAGAATTACAGAGTCTAAATGACCCTTTGTATTAATCCATGTTCTGTTACAACTGAATACCTAAGGCAAAGATGTTTGTGGAGCTCAGTGTCGTGGGGCACTGAGGGCACCGAGGCAGCATCTGCTCAGCTACGATGAGGAACTCACTGTTGACAGCAGTGTGCGCAGGAAGCAGTGATCACACGGTGAGGGCGGAAGCCCAAAGGGGAGACTCTGAGTCTCCACCGAGAGGGGATCTCCAGTGACCTGAAGACCTGGCAGTCACCAGGACCCACGGTTTTGTTTTACCTTTTTGGAAGAAGAATATGCCATGCAATGCTGTGCAAAAGATAAAAAGGATGAATAACCCAATATAATTCAGAAACTTATATTGGTTTTCCTACTGTTCCAAGTATTTATTTTACTTATTTGAAAGACCAAGTGACAAAAAGGGACACAGAGAGAGAGAGCTTCCATCCAAATGGTTCAGTCTCTAAATGACCAGAACGGCCAGGGCTGGGCCAGGTTGCAGCACGAAGCTAGGAACTTCAGCCTGGTCTCCCATGTGGATGGCAGGAGCCCATGTGCTTGGGTCATCTTCCACCCTTTGCCAGGCACAATGGCAGGGAGCTAAATGACAAGCTGAACAACCTTGTCCTGACTTGTACTGACACCGGTAGATGGGATGCTGGATTCACAGGTGGCAGCTTAACATGCTGCATTACAACAGTGACTCTTGTATTACTCTTTTTTCCTATAGGGTAAGGTACAAATAGAGATTTTCAGGGGGAATAGTATATGATTTCTAAGGGAACTCAAAGATTTGGTGAACATGTAGTGAAACAGGTTCTAGGAGCCAGGCACAAAGTCTTTTTTATTTGAAGCACAGACCATAAATTATAAATGATTCTCTTCAGAATGAAAGGACAGAGGCCAGACACGTGATACAGTAGGTTAAGGCACTGCTATGATACCACAACTAGCATCCCACAGGAGCATTGCTTCAAGTTCCAGCCCCTCCACTTCCCATCAAGCTCTTTTTGATGCACCTGGAAAAGAAACTTAGGATGGTCCAGATGCTTGGGAACCTGCTAGCCATGTGGGATATTCAAATGGAGTTCCAGCATCCTGCATTCTGCTTGGCCCAGAACCACCTGTTGTAATTATTTGGGGAGTGACCAGCAAATGGAAGCTATTTCTTTCTATCTTCTTTCTCTCGTCCTCTGTTTGGGACACTACCTTTCAAACAAACAAACAAATAAATAAATCTTACCCAAAGAAGGGCAATGGTGTGTGACAACACTCTTCCAAGTGTGGCAACAGGCTTCATTATTTCCTTCTGTGATGTAAACTTAATTATTACCTTGGAGAAGGGATCAGAAGTAGTTATTTCTTCTTTGATGGTTCAAGACCATAGGCACATTAAGAAATCTTGCAGACGGCCCTACCTGCCATTGGGAGAAGGAGAAAGAAGGGAAGGTTAAAGGGCCATTGGATTCTAAGACATATTTTAAAGCCTTTTAATTTCTTTGAGATCAAATTGCTTAGACTGCCAAAAATTGGGACTGCTATTGTAGCACGGTGGGTTAGGCTTTCGCATTGTAATACCAGCATCCCATATCAAAAGTGCCAATCCAACTCAGTAGATGATGGCCCAAGTATTTGAGTTCATGCCACCCACATGGGAGACACAGGTGAAACTTCTAGTTCCTGGCTTCAACTTGATCCAGCACTGACTTGCAACCATTTGTAGGGGCGGGGTTTGAACCAGCAAATGAAAGATCTCTCTCTTTCTCACTACCTCTCCCTCAGAGTTGCAAATAAAGAATCAATTTTTAAATATATATGTGTATATATATCATATTTTGGAAGTGTCATTCTCTGAACCCCAACAACAGTCTTTTCTTTTTTTTAATAGCAAAATATTTTTTAAACCAACTGGGTATATCCACTAGATTTTTGTCTCTGAAAAGCATTTCAGCTTACACAGCTGAAGAACAAGATGAAGTAGAATTGAAGCTTATAGAACAAACTCAGAATTCCAAAATAGAAGAGGAGCAGTGTATGAGGCGATTTTGGCAGCGGCCCACAGAACAATCCACAGGGACCTTATAATTTGAGCATATACTGAGTTGGAATGAGGGTGCCATGTGATTTGTGTAAACTGGGGATCCAAGACAGGTGCCATTAGAGAAATGGGCAATAGACTCATTTTGGGGATGGGCAGTGGAGTACTGTTCTTGACTATGCCTCAGGAAACTGCTGTTGCTCAGCCTCTTGTTTTTGCTCCTAATGACTGTTTTTTCGCTTCTTCTGAGTTTTGTTCTGTGGTCATTGCACCAAATATCCAATTTTGTTGGTTTTATGTTCATTTTTGAAGTCAGCTCTTTTTGAATGCTGCGACTGGGTGTGAGTTTTCACCGAACAAGATGTTCAGCGCTTCTAATGATTTTCCAGGGAAAGCAGACCGTTTCCTTTGTGGGTGCTTTTGGCACTTGCATACAGTGCCTGCATAGAGCAGGTCTTCAGAGCTTAACGTCATCCAGACGCATTCTTTGGTTCAGCTTGGACAAGAAGCTAGGGCTCACTTCTAAAGGTCCCACCAGCTCTTAACATTGTCACACTCAGGAACAAGTTTCCAACACATGAGCCCTTGGAAGACAAACCACACACAAATCACAGCATTCTCTAACAGTGAACCCAATTCTAGGCATCCATCTTGGCTACAACAGGATTCATAAGGTGACCAGCTCTTTCTAGTGCCCTAAAACCTCATTCCCCAGTCAATCCCTTCCATGAGCCCTGAGCTCATTCTTTTTTTTTTCTAATTTAAAAAAAAATTTTACATCATTTTATGACACAGTTTCATAGGCTCTGGGATTCCTCCAGCCCCTCCCCAAGTCCTCCCCCCATATTGAATTCCTCCATATTGTTACAGTAGTACAGTATATAACAAGTCATGATTCCTTCATTGCGGGTATGGGTCATGCGGAGAGTCCAGCATCTTCTTGTCCAGATAAATTCAACAGTTTCATTGGGAGACCATCCTTGGTCTCAAAGTAGAGCTGATAGAATATCATCTCTTCCAATGAGATGCCACTATACAACTTCAACAACAGGAAGAAACATAGAAATGAACAGCATTGTGAAGTTAACATGGTATTGAGTGACCAACATGTTAGAAAATGCAAGTTCTTAACCACATCCTGTAACTACTTCCTTGGCATCTCAGTTTTAGTATGTACACAACCAGCTTGGCTCCCAGGCCTCTCTTAACACCGACCATTAAGGTTGCTTGTGAGCCCCAAAATTTGTTCAGATAGACAGAAACTAATAAAGATCAACCAGTTGTTAGCCACGCAGCTTGTACCTTACTGATCAGGTTTCCCATTTGGCTTTTCAGATAGACAGAGACAGAGACACAGATATAGAAAGTCTGGAACAACCAGGGAAAAGGCCAACTAGCCTATAACCGCTCAGCCTGTACTTACTGGTCAGGCTCCCTGTTTGCTTCTCCTGGACTTTACTAGGTAAGATGTAGAGTTAAATTCTTCCTCACTCACTGGGTTGTGGGGATTTCCCTGCTTACCTGCCTAAAACTTCTATTCTTTAACTGTTAAAATGCAAAGTTCTGTAAAACTATGCTTAATCACTATATACTGCAAAGTTTAAATTTTGGTTTAATTTTCTCTGCCCCCCCAAAAAACTGTATCAATTCATGACTCTTAATGCTAACTAAGATGTAACCACATAGAAACTTTGATGTTAAGTTTGTACTCAGCTGTTATATAGATGATGGATGTTAATGCTGATCCTTTCACTGTTTCTGTGCCACTCTGATTGAGGTTAAACTCAAAAACATGTTAGCTTGGGCGGGGAGAGGGGTGCGGGGGGGGGTGGGGGGTAGGTAGTTTGAGTTCATTCTTACAGAATCTGCTTCAAGCAGTGAAAAATCAGATTTTTCCTAATATTTATACATTTTTGTCTTTTCAATTGGTTGGTTTTTTGTCACTTTAAAAAAGAGAGATTTATTTATTTTTATTGGAAAGGCAGATTCACAGAGAGAAGGAAAGACAGAGAGAAAGATTTTGATTGCTGGTTCACTCCCCAAGTGGCTGAGCCTATCCAAAGTAGGAGCCAGGAACTTTTTCCAGGTCTCCCACATGGGCACAGGGTCCCAAGGCTTTAGGCTTTCCCAGGACAGAAGCAGAGAACTGGATGGGAGTGAAGCAGCCAGGACATGAACTGGCACCCACATGGGATCCCAGTGCTTGCAAGATGAGAATTTAGCCACTAGGCGATCATGCCAGGCCTAATTTTGAATCACTATTTCAGTGCTTTCTGCTCATATTCAGTTGCTATGCTTCTCTAAATTTACTTAATACAGAAGTTCTGACTCGGAGCTTGTGCATTAGATGCAGTGGGAGACAAGCCAAGGGACAGCTTCACCACATTCTTAAGTTTGATGCTAATAATATCTCGTCTGTATGCTTTATTTTTGAACACTTTCCTTTTTCCTGTTTGCACTAAAAGCTAGGTCTGATTTATAATATATCTATGTTGTTTCAGGATTGATCTAGAAATAGAAATAGAGACAGTCAAGTAAAAATAGAGGGGTAGAGTTATTAATTGTATAATTGGTGCCATATTATCTTGTACAAGGTCACATTTACTTTCCTTAGATATGTGAATTAATTGTACATAAATAGAGGTGAATGTGATACAAGGCTACAAATTTGCTAACTTACTCAACTACTAGTTAACAAAGTAGCTTGAAAATGATGATAAAATACAGCCATTCTGCTGAAGCGGGAGGGTGGGGGGTACTTTAATCCACTATTGGTGTGAATATAAAAGAGCACAAATGTTATTAAGGACAGTATGGAGATTCCACAATGTGATCCGGCCATCTCAACTGGAAATTTACCCAAATAAAATGAAATCAGCATACAAGCATTATTTGTAAATCCATGTTTATTGAAGTTCAATTCACAGTAAGATATGGAATCCATCTAGATGACCATCAACAGGTGAATGGATGAAGAAAATGTGGTATATACACACTTCTGTGTATATATGCACAGGCTTTCTCGGGCTTTTGGCCTGGGAACTACCAGAGGGAAAATCTTCCTCTTTGCCTTTCCTTCTCTCTGTAAATATACCTTTCCAATAAAAATTAAAATTAAAAATACAATCTATACAAATGAGATAGACATTTTGAGATATGATCGTTGTTTATAACCTTAGTCTAAACTCTTGAGAAACAATGTTTTGGGGTTTTTTTCTGTTTGTCAATTATTAAAATTTTTACCTAATGGAGTGTTAACCATGTGAGGTGAACTGAAAGGAGACCACTGTAAAAATTAAAAGTAAAATAGAAGGAAGGGAAACATGGGCAAGAGGGATGGTAGTGTGGGAACTATCACTACGCTCGTAAATATTTATTGTGAAATATGTGAAATTTGTCCACTTCATATAAATAAAATAATTTTAATTACAAATACATGGCCATTGAAAAGTGACAAGACAAGGAAGATGTTTGTTGCAATAATTAAGCTGCTGCTTGGGAGAGTTGTATTCTGTTTTCCAGTGCCAGGCTTGAGCTTTGTCTTCAGCTTTCTAGCATCTACACCTTGGGAGGCAATAGAGATGGCTATTGGGTCCCTGCCAACTGTGTGGGAGACCTGGCTGGAGTTCTAGCCTCCCGGCTTCAGCCTGGCCCAGCCCTGACTATTGCAGGCATTTAGGGAGTAAACCAACATTTGGAAGAGCTTCCCTCTTTATTTTAGTTCTATTGTCTCTTTCTCTGCCTTTCAAATAAAAAGAGAATAGAGAAAGAAATTTAAAAATTCATATTGGGGTAGTGTTGTGGTTGCCCGTGACACCAGCATCCCATATGAGCACTGGTCTGTGGCCTGACTGCTCCACATGGAATCCAGCTCCCTGCTACTGGCCTGGAAAGAACAGCGGAAGATGGTCTGAGCTTTTGGGCCCCTGCCACCCACAGTGTCCTTGGCAGCTTTGGGATTGCTCACCTGTATCTTCCTCAGGCCCTTCCAGTGTGCTTCTTGGCAAAACCTATATTTCTTGGGAACATGTGATCCACCCATTGAAGAGACCCATAGCTTTGTGACAGGCTTCTTGATGCCATCTCTGTGCCTTTCCCAGGGCTGGTTGTGAATGGATTTGGCTGTGACTACACCACAATCTGCAGTTCCTGAAGCATCTGGAACTAGGGGAGCTTGGTTCACTCCCCAGATGGCTGCCATGATTAGGGCTGGGCCAGGCTGAAGACAGGAGCCAGGAACTTCTGGATTCGGCACGTAAGTGGCGGTCCCCAAGCACTTGGGCCATTGTTTGCAGCTTTTCTCAGACTGTTAGTGGGGAGTTGGATAGGAAGTGGAACAGCTGGGCCATGAACCAGTGCCTATGTAGGGTGCTTTACCTACTGTGCCATAATGTTTGCCCCAAGAAACAATTCTTAAACATTGTGCCTCATTAGCAGTGTGGAATTTCAGTCTCCATTAACTTGGCTAATGCCTCTCTGCATGTGTACTGACATTCCTGTGCATTAGCGTACAGCAGTTTCTGTTTATAAGACACAAGTACACAAGACCTCCTCCAAGGTCAGTCTAGCATGCAGTGAAGAAGCAATGCTATGTTAATCCAACATGCTGTGTGAACTATAATGTATGAAGGCAAGAAGATTGAATAATTACCACATAACTGATACAAGACAGAGAAAACCGAGGTGGGAACAGGAATATTATCCTAGTCAGTCTTTTTAAAAAATTATTATTTTAGGGCCCGGCATGGTGGCCTAACAGGCAAAGTCCTCATCTTGAACGCGTGGGGATCCCATATGGGCACTGGTTCTAATCCCGACTCCTCCACTTCCCATCCAGCTCCCCGCTTGTGACCTGGGAAAGCAGTCCAAAGCCTTGGGACCCTGCACCTGCATGGGAGACCTGGAGGAGATTCATGGCTCCTGGCTTCGGATCGGCACAGCTCCGGCCATTGTGCTCACTTGGGGAGTGAATCATTGGATGGAAGATCTTCTTCTCTGTCTCTCCTCCTCTTTGTATATCTGACTTTGTAATAAAAATAAATAAATCTTTAAAAAATATTATTTTACTTATTTTGGGAGCAGAGAGAAATTGCTAGACAAAGAGAACTTTCCTTTCTCTTGATTCATTCCACAAATGCCCAGAATATTTACTAATGATATCAGACTTCTATTCCCCTTTGGGTATGAGTCACTTCATCAATATTTCCTTGTTGCATTTTTTTTTTTACCTGAATCCTAAGTTCACCACAAAAGCAATGGTTTCTACTAAATCAGTTTGGATTTTTTTTTCTACTGCTCTGTTAAGACTAACTCTAAGGACTTGGTTCTGATAAAGCGTTTCATAACCTTGCAATATCTTATATCACCAGGGCTCCTCTCTCACGCAAAAGACCTCATTGGCCAGATGGATCAAAACATCTTCAGGTTCACAAATTCACTGAACTTGATTACATTTCAAGTTTACCTCAAGGTTT